TATACAGAAATGTTATCTTCACCTTTTCTACTGTAACCTATAAGCATCATCCTATCAATCACTTGCCTAGATTTCTTGAGTGGCTTCCAAAATCTCCCTACTTTCCCTTTCCCTCTTGAAGTCTATTCTTAACATAGAAGCCAGTAGATAAGATTGTGTGTCGCTGTCTATGCAAATTCTCCAAAGACTTCCTGTCCCACTCAAGTAAAAATCAAGGATTAAAGGAGTGACTTAAAAGACCCCACAGGATCCAGTTCCTACCTACATCTCCCTCTGACAACTTCAATGCCCTGTCACTCACTTTACTATCCCCACACAGTCCCAAGCCTGTTTTTCATGACTGTAAAGTGCTATCTGGCCTAGGAGACTTTCCTCACTGGACTCTCATCTAAGAGTAAAAATTTCTCACCTCCTTGGATGTTACCTTCTGAAATAAACCTATCCTAGCCGTCCAACATAAAATTGTGGCAACAACCTCTTCCTATGATCTTTACCTGGATGGTTATACATTTTTCCATACTTCTTATGACCTCCTAATTCTAAAACTGATAAGAAAATACTACTAATAATGTACCTATTTGGGAAGTGTATTGTGACTGTTTCTCTTTAACATAGAGTATAAGATCTCTCTGAAAAGGCAGTTTTGCATATTTTATATGTTGCAATAAGATCATGGCTTTGTAATACATATATTAGTATTCAATGTATATATTTATTGAGTGAATGACTTGTTTGTTCTCTAATTAACTATTTTAGCTCATGGAGACATTCCATATTGCTCATTTCTAAAATTACTTGTGGTTCTGCAGAAATTGAGGACGTAACATACAGTCTTCTTTTATTGAGTATTCAGTGTAATATATTTGTAGAAATGAGAGATTTATAAACAAAGCACTAGCTATAAAGGCTTATGATGTGTCAAAGAACTACCAGCTGATCCCCTAAACCAACTATGTGTCTAAAGAGCTTTACTAGCAGGGCAAGCTCATCACTGGTGGCCTTCACAGTTAGAAGTTTTTAGACTGTATCTAATGGATAAATAGCAGAGCATATGAGATTTTGATGTAATGGACAATCCAGTTTTGATATGGAACACCTTGATAACTTACAAGGAGAATAATTTGAACTCTTTCATAAATGGAGGCAAAATATATTTGGAACCCAAACACAATGTCATAGATGAGTTCTATGATGTCCAGTATTTCCCCAGAGAAAACAATGTCTCAAACAAAATAGATGCTAATATAAGAGTAGCCTGAGGAACAATCAGGAATATCCTCATCCAGTCTAGGATCATGATTATAATGCAAAATAATCTTTTTAAATTTTTCTTGAGAGAGAGAGAGGGATATGCTGGTTCATTCCCCAAATGTTTGAAAAAGCTGGGGCTAGGCCAGGCCAAATCCAGAATACTATAACTTAGCTGGTAGTTGCAGAGACCCAGGTATTTGAATTATCACCTACTCCCTCCCAGAGTGCTCATTAGATAGAAGTTGTTAATAGAAATGGAGCTAAGATTCGAACACAGGCACTCCAATGTGGGATTCTGGCATCCCAAGTAGTCTCTTAGCTGCTGTACAAAAATCCATCCTCAAAATAATATTTTAAAACTAAATCTGAAATTAATATGTTATATACACTGTCATGGTATTTCAAACTGTTCAGGGAAAATAGAATTAAAATATAAGTTCATTTTGGTGCAAAAATTTTGAAATTCATGCATGGTTTTTCATTAATCCTTATTTTCTGTGAACTTTTCAAAGACTTCTCATGTATCTTACTAATGCAAACAGATTCAGAACTAAAGTATTATATCCTTAGAAAAGAAACATCAAATATGTTTTATATCTGAATTTAGCTCAGCATACTCTAGCTATTCCATTTTATTTTAAGATCAAAAAACAGTAGGGCCCAGACTTTGAACTAATATCCATCTTGATTCCCGTATTAATTTGGTGGTCATCTGTATTCCAGGACCCCTATCTTTCTGAGACCTGGGAATACGTGTAGCTGCTCTAAATCTCAAGCTCCCTGACTTCAAAGAGAGCACTGTGCTTGGATTAACACCACACAATAGGAGCAAGACAAGAAACAACCCATGAAATCACATAAATTCTTTGTTATTGTAAAGCTTTTGTCTATTTCTTTCTGTCATTGTATAACATAATCTCACTAACTTAAACAAAATTAGTCAAATTTAAAAAGATATTGAGATATGATTTATCTATGTCAGTGTCAATTAAAAATTTATACTCATGTTATAATTCCTGAAAAATGAATTAAAAATTAGTTAAAAATTGTATGCTGATGATCTGATCTTTTTCCTGCAGAAATAATATAACAAAAAAGCAGGAAGGAAATAAATATGAAAAAGAGCAACATGTCTGAGGGAGCAACTATTTTTGCAGAATTTGTTATAAATTATATCCTTATAAGAAACTTCATTTCTGCTCAAATGAATAGATTAATGGTTTTTTACTGATAGGTAAATTATAATAATTCTTATTTTAATGATAATCAAATTTATGATGAAATTCTATCAGCTTGAATTGCTTTACTTGAAAATAAAGATAATAAAGCAGAAAAAAGGCAAACATTGAAAATTCTTTATGCTGTAAAGGGAAGTGAGCCAGTGAAAAAGAAGCCTTCAACAAACAGAATCTTAATTTATAAAATGCTCTTGTAGGCTCTGCCTCTTCCCTACCTCTGACTATATCCAAAACAACACAAAATATGAACAAAGCACAGTGAAACCACAAATAGAAACACTTTGTAGGAGATTCTGGAGCAAAATCACTTTTTTAGAAAACAATGAATAATTTAAGGACATGGCAACAAGGTCTAAGAAATGATTACTAATGAATTCAAGAAAAAGTAGCCATCAGATAGTCATGTTTTTAATGAATACACAGCAAATAAATTTCAAAATCACACATATGTATTGAAAAGATAATAACTAGATCATTTTGCCTCAACTAAATAAGAATTTTAAGTTTGGAATCATAGAGAAAATTAAATTGTATTAATCTCATTTGATTTAGATGTTTAAAAAACAAGAAGTTAATTTTAAACTACATATTTTAAATGACCCAAGTGTCATCTAAATTGGGAATTCTGATAATTAGTCCATAATGACTTCCTTAAAGTGAATTATAAAGTAGACTAACTTGATAGGTAATATAAGTTATTATTTTGTGGCAATAAATCATGCTAATAAAGAATTTGGGTTTAAGAATTAGTAGACTTAAATTAATATGAATGTCAGTTTTGTACCAGATGTGTGACCTGAACAAATAATTCACTGAACCTTAGCCTCTTGACATATACAAAACAAGGATAATAATATAACCAATATCACATGGTTATAAAACTTAACTAATATAATCAAGTTTAATTAATTTTGTTTTTATAGCTATCAGCATAATTCTTGGCTAACAGAAGCTATTTGATATATGTAACTATAATTATCCTACTTTTATTATTATTTGATTATAAGATGAATTTTCTTGTAAGTCCAATATAGTCTTTTGGGATCATCTTCTGTGAATTTAGTCAGGTTGTTTTTTGTTTCTGAAATGCAAACTTCTTTCTTATGCATTAAGCAAAATCCTAAACATTTCAAGCAGTCCTGCCATTTATGATAATGTATCTCACTAACCATATCCCATATTAATGTTGAAATTTTTAAAGACACAGCATTTTATCTTCTCTTTTTAAAACCAACCTTCAAAGAAAATAGTATAGTGATAGGCATAGAGTAGTGTAGTGTTTAGTGCATTTTTTTAAGTTGTACTGTACTAATTAAGCATCATTACTAAGATCATGTTGGTCACCTTATCTCCCTAGCCTTACATTCCTCACCCAACAAATGGCAAAATTAAGTACACTCTCCATGGTACTGAAACTGTATTATTTCAATGCAGGTGACTGAAAATTCCCATCCATCCTTATACAAGCACTATCACAATTTCAATTTTGTTTATATAACAGCTATAAAATTCTGAGTATGTAAGATCCACATTCGGATTATTTGACAATACTTGGGAAGTGAGTATGACCTGAAGAACAGAACTGCAGGATCACTCATGCAAATGTTTCCCTACTTTTATTAAAAAAATGTTCTTTTACATCCTTGCTCAACTCAACTGTTCAGAGCATTTAAGGACCAACATTTCCCTTCTCTTAATTCTACTTCATTGTACCCAGCTTTTCATCATTTCAATATTTGAAACTACTAAGAGTTTAGTTAGTGCTTATAATAAATCAAATATTTTTAATATAAAGGAATTTTTAATTTGCTTTTGCCCTACACATACAAAGCCAAATACATACTTGATATAGAATGTGACATATGGACCAGCAAAGAAGTCAACCTAGAACATTGGGAAAATTAATATAATAAAAATGATATAATAATAATTATAACTGAATATAGTCAAGGGGAAACGAGCTTTGTCATATTACCTGTCTATATATTAGCTGTGCTGTGCTAAACCTACAAAATTGAGGAAAATTAATAATAATAATGACTGAATATGAGCAAGCAAAACAGAAATTTGTCAAACAAACTTTGCCATACTACCAGTCCAGATATAAGATGATATTCTATTTTCTACTAATCCTGCCTACTATTCTGTCAGTACAGGACAGAATAGTGTCCCTGCTATTCATATTCTCAAATCTCAACTTGCTGCCTTTAATTCTGTCATCAGGACCATACAATGCCTTGGGCAAAAAATGTCGTTGGCATCATAGATATAAGAAGAAATCTTAGGAAGAGGACTTGCACAACCAAAGGGTTTTACAGAAATGTATACTTTCAAATAGATTATAATTCATCTCCACATTCAAATATTCCACAGCCTTGCCCCACCATACACTTTTTCTACTTCCTTTTAGGAACAGAGTGAATGTCATAATAATAGATTTTTACCAGAAAAAAAAAACAGATTGTTACATATATTAAAATAAGCATGCACCATGCAACGTGCAAAAAATACCTTGGGTTTCTTATTTTCAGGGCCTGTTGACATGGACAATGCACAAGGTGAAATCAGCTCCTGGGTTCTTGTTAGAGAGATGGGAGGTGATAGGGTTGAAACAGGTGACCTGTGGCTGGATATTGTGCTTTCATGTTTCCTAAGTCTTGAAGGCAAGGTATCACTACCACAATTTGGGTGCAGTGGTGAGGAACTGAGCTGGAATGGCTGGGTAGGAAGATTAGCAGGAGGGACAGAGGAGGACCCCAAGTTAGGAATAGAGGCAGAGCTGACACTGGGGATAGAGGGTGAACGAGGAGCTGAAGGGGTCAAACCATAGCCAGATAGCTGAGATGATACTGTTTTGGATCTGTTTATCAGATTTGAAAGAGCTGGGGAAGGATGAAAACATTTCTCTGGAGTGGGGAGTGTGGTGCTTTGAATAATAGGAGGAGATACGGAAGTTACTTCAGAGGAGGCTAATGTGGATGTCTTTTCTATACCCCTTAAGTCACCATCCTGTTTGCCCTTGGAAGAGTAAAGAGAAGAGCTTGGTGGGACAGGAGGAAGACCTGCAAAGCTCGCTGTATTGGTTTGTGGCACGGAGAGCTCCGTATTGCTCTTCAAAGATGTAGGTGATGTTGCTTTTTCAGCATTCAAAGAAATAGGGCTGCTACTAAAAGGTTTTGTAGGAGAGAGGGAGGGCCTTTGCGAAACCAGGACAGTCTTGGAGGAAAAAGGTAGGGGAAAGGATTGCTGGGTCAGCTCAGAAACCTGGTTTTCCCCTTGATCTGGTGATCCAGCTCTGAGAGAGCAACTTGAGAGAGACTTTTTAGGAGTGGATGGAATTTGCTTTGCTTTTTGATCAAGTGTGAGTGTGGAAGAGGCCAGGGAGTTGAGAGAGAATGTGGGGCAGGATGCAGGGGATTCAGGTCTTTGGTGAGATGGGTTTGACTTGAGGATAGCAGTGAGAAGGGAAAGCCGAGAGGGCACTGGAGATTTCACCCCTGACCTTGAAAGATTTCCACTAGATGACATTTGGCTACAGATAGTGGAAGAAGAGCCATGGAAAGAGGAGGTAAATGGTTTTGGACTTGGAGAGAGTGAATGTGTGACAATACGGACGGGGATGTACAAGGCAGAGTTTGACTTCAGAGAAGCACCGCAGGATGGTGAAGGAGAAGAGGTTCTCGGACTTTCTCTGGGACTATGGACATGTGAGGTTATAGTTGTCTTCTTCTTCATAGCTTCAGATTTCTGATGTCCAGGTTTCTGATGTGCTGCAGTTGGGCTGGATAGATTAGAACCTGAGAGCTGTGTGGAATGGGGAAACTGTAACGTCGAGGAGGTGCCTTTCGATGCAGGAAAGGGTGAAGAGTGGGTGGCAGTTTGAAAGTACGTAGCTGTTTCTTCTACCAAGGCCCCACTGACATCCAGCCTCCTAGTGTGGAACTCCTCTAGGACAGAGGCTCCGTCGAGGTTAACTGGGTCAGGTGGTGTTTTCTGATTAGTTGGAGAAACAAAGGAGAAAGCAGGTGGTTTACAGGCAAGCTGCTCAGAGGTAGTGGGAGAAGAAGTTAACTAGAGGAAAGAGAAACAGACAGATTGAAATAGGGCATTATTTGTAAAAATATCCAAATATTATTGACACTTGTGTGATTATGCAAGCAATACTATAGTTTACTCAAAAAATACGTTAAACCTACATAGAAATGAAGGAAATTCAGTTTCGCTAATGAGACACTGAAGTGAATTTGAAATAAGACATAAACAAGCTGTGAAGTATTATATCTATAGATCACTTATTCTCCAGGATGAAAATCAATATAAATTGTTTTGCATGCTTCCACTTATAAAATAATCCATTGATATATATAAAGCAGTTCTCTTAATTTGGAATTCTGTGATTAGAAAATATTTAAGTCACCATCAGTATAAATTTCAAAACTCGCTTTGGAAAATTAAACTGATTTTCTTCCATTCTAAGACTATAAACCATAATATAATAATTATGACTTCAATCTTTAGAAAATTTAACATACTTCAAGCGCTTAAAATTCTAAAAACTTGGACTACTTACTCCTACACATTGAACCAAAGTGCCCAGAATTAAAAAGATGAAGTATCCACAATCAACACAGAGTGATAATTTAAATGAGAACAAAGTCCAAAACAGAGAGGGAATTTGAGCTTACTTCCCCTATGACTTTGCCAGAATGAATATTTAACATGAACATATAATGAAAATTAAGCAAATGATTTAGGTTATTCTGGAAGGAAAAGACTTTCTGTCTTATCAACAGAAGCGAGAACACTTTACAAACATAATCCTGCTGAAAAATGCAACTCAACAATCCCATGCCCAATAAAGAGAAAACAAAGAAATGATTTATCATTTTATAACAGAAGCCAGGGAGAGCTTATGAAATAACTGAGTGCATGGGAATTATTATGCCATTTAAAAAAATTATCCAGTACTTTAAGTGAAGTACTGAAATCGTAAGTAATTCTAAAAAAAAAAAAATGGGTTTTAGATACAACATTGATTTGATTTTATCAATCTGTAAAAGAAAGAATAAATGTACATGGATAATAAAGAATTTGGAGACTCTCTGTAGTTCAAAGAATTAATGAGTGAAAGGCATTTGATAGTGAGATTCAGATGTCACAACAACCACAGCACATCTAGGAGTGCCTGAGTTCAAGCCCAGGCCGCCCTCTTAATGCTTTCTTCCTACAATGCACACCTTGGGAGGTAGCAGGTGATGTTAGATCTTGGCTACCCATTTGGGAGACTCAGATTAAATTCTCAACTCCCAGCCTTGGTCTGGCCAAGGCTCAACTGTTGCGAGCATTTAGAGAGTGAACCAAGGATGGGAAATCCTTCTTTTTATGTCTTTGTGTCTCTCCGGCTTTCAAATAAATCAAATAGGTAAATAAATAAATAAAATTGAAAATATATTAATGAATATTAACATATATATGGCATATGAAGTACATATCAGAAAATTATCTATGAGCCTCACAATTAAACTTAGAAAAGCCTTGTCATATTAACACAAACATATTTCTTGATTTTCTAACATGTTCAGAAGTTTTCCATCAGATTTAATGCAAGTATCTTCATACCATTTAGTTTTGAGCTCTAAAGATATTTAAGATTGAAAAATCCAAACCCATTTCAAACTTCTAAATTTCTGAGCAAATATACCAATATATTCTTTTCTTTTATATGAAATTCATATGTAGATTTGCAACACAGAATTCTTGCACCATAAATAATACTTGAATACATGGACAAAAGTCCAAAACATCAGAAAATCAGAGGTAATTGAAAATCATGAATTCAATCAAACTAAAAAAGGAAGTTTAATAATTCTCTCCTACAAGTTTTTCTTAGAAACAACTCTGCTTAGCCAGTGTTTACATAACTGATTCATATGGTTAGGGTACATATTTAAATCTAAATATCACTAACTGGGCAACTGAATGTTTCTGTCACCACAAAAATGATGATATTCTGTTTGGAGTTATGTAATCATGTATAGTCAAATTAGCATTTAGTGTTAAAAATAATTCTCTCAAAGTTAATAGTACATTCAAGGCTGTAGTTTTTGTTTTACTATAAATGAAATATCTTCTTTAATTGTTTACGACTGATCACTCCTCTTAGAAAGAATAGAGCCATTTAAGCCTATAAATTGCCTTTGCATACTATGCAGGTATCTATTCCTAGGATGGTTGTGAATTCATAGCCCTTCAGTCATGCTTCCAACTTATTACAATATACATGAAAAACTCACTAATTTATCCTAATTATACACCAAATTATCACTGTTAAGACAATGAGTCTGTAATTTTGAGTCTTTCATTCAGAAGAAAAGATTACTCCCTCCAACGACACCAATACTATCACTTCCAACTAAATGTTAGGTTGAACTAAACATTCTACTACAGTAAGTGATATTTACCAAATATAAGCAATTTATTATGTCTTTAATGGCCGATTATTGAGGAAGTTCTAAGAGACAGATCTGAAAGTACAAAAATATGTATGTTTAATCCCAATACAATTTATTATCCTAGTCAATCTATTATTAAATATTTGCAATATATTTATTTCTAACACACAAATACATCGTCATGTTTTCCTAATTTATATAAATGTGACACCATAGTTTTATAATTCCCAAAAGTGAGGATTCCATTTTTTAATACAAAAGATTCATTTTCCTGATTTTCTCTCTCATTAATGTTTAAAATAAAGAAATCAATAATTTCATGTGGAAAGAAGGAATGGGCTCCTGTCAAATTCTCAGTCAGTAGTTTGAACCCATCCTTCATTTCTGCTCCTTGAAAATCCTTTCTGATGATGCTGAACTTTTCTATTGAAATCTACCAACTATTTCCATCCATTCATCTTCTGCCATTAATAACTCCCTATGCTTTCTCTAGGTTTATAACTTAAAGAATAAGTCCTTAACCCTAAGACTGTTCTAAATCTTCTCCACCTTTTACTTCTCACTGAAGTTTTGTTGATTCCACTGCTTCAAACAGTTCTCTAGAGTTTCTTGTAAGACCTCCTAACATCAGCATCTATTGCTTCTTTGATCCTCTCCACCACATATGTCCTCCCAAAGTCATCTGTGAAAGTTTCTTCTAGAAAAACTATCCTGAAGTCTGGAATACATTCACAACAGTCCAAATAAGATAAGATGCTTGCAATGTATTATTTTCAACACACAGATCATCTTAATTATAAATCCATCTTTGGATCCTGTGTAACAGAAGTTATCAGTTACTTTAGTCACTAAAATCTCTTGTAGTTTTCCCTTAAAATTTTAGTAAATTTTAAGATTAACTGCTCCTGTATATAACCAATTTTTAAATTCTGTCTATGGTATTCTTTTTTTTTAAAGGAAAACGTCTATTGGGGAAAACTCAACAGACTGGAGGGAAGGGTCAAAGAAGGAAAAGAGGGAGAAGGAGAGCATAAGAGAGATCCAAAGAGAGGGACAGAGATCAGGAGACAGAGAGAAAGAGAGCCACAAGTTCAGGAACAGGTCCTTTTTAAATTTTGCCAGAGGGTGGGCAGGGAAGTAGGTACAGCAAATCCCATTAGGATGGGGGTGGATCTTGAAATCAGTGGTTGGGCCATATGACCACCTGGCTTCCAGCAATGGCAGCGGGAGCTAGAGCCTAGGATAGTGTCAGGGTGTATATCGTGCCTTAGATAAGACTGGGTGTCTAAGGCATTCTAATGTGGCCATGCAGATTCAGGAGGAAGAACGCAACTACATGGGACCAATATGTGATGCTGTCCAAACCTTGAGAACTACTCAAAACATTATATATTAAATCAGGCTTTTATTTAGATGTGTTGGAATCTCTAACACATATTAGGAAAAATAGAATTGAATACATACAGGAGCAGCTAATTTTAGAATTAAAATTCTAAAATTTTAGACAGCTTTATAATAGGTATTAGCAAAGACTTTGATTCTCCACTGTCATTATTTATCAACCATTACATTATGGCAGCTAAGCTCTCTAAACTTATCTATTAATAGGTCTTCTCTGATTAATTCTCATAATACCACAGGGAAGATTATCAACCTTTCTTTCCTGAAAAAATTAAATATTCTTTTACTGTATTCCTACTTCTAGTTGAACCTTATTTAACCTATAATCACATTAGCTATTTAAAATATAATCACCATACATCTATGGTCAAGACTTTGTCAATGCTTTCTGTCTGTCTACAATGAGCTAAAGATCTTTCTTTCATGGCATTGTCCCTATCCTTCTATCTCTTGATCTGGTCTCATTTCCTTAACCCTTTGCTAATTTTCATTTGTGTTTAGCAATATTTTGTTCAATATCAACCTTCTTACCAGAATTGTCAGCATTTAGCCACATTGGCTTTTTGCTAATCAACTTTTGCCAATCCACTTGACTACTCCATTCTTAAATCAATCCCACCAGCTGCCATTATGTTCCTAGATTAAGTCTGCTTAAATATGCAGTAAGAAGAAAATTACTTTATTCTTTTCATTGGCAGGACCATTGTTCTTGACTTACATATTGTACTTGCACAAGAGTATCAACAAAGAATAGGGCTAGTTTTTCCTGCACCTGTGAAGAATGGGCATCTTTTTCAAATTACATCTGGGCTAGGTGAGACACTCTGGTTTGCTCTTATCACAAATTCAAGGTCTATGGTCACAGCTGGGCCTAATGCCTTTCAGCATATTTGTTGCTTGTTCTGTTTTGCTCTTTTCTTTAGTTTGAACCTTGGCTTCCACTTCTGTTCTTCTAAAAATGTAATGTTTTCCACAAACCGTTAACTTACTACTTAGCCTAGTTTACTTAATAGATCCAGATTTCTTTTACCTAAAATAAATTGAGATTACTAGGAAAGCAAATTTTCTAGATTCACTCTTATCCCATTTTTAAAAGAAAAAATGATGACTTTCCACTTTTAAAGGGAGAATTTTCCCTGTGTACTTTGAATCGCAGCAGCTCTTTCCCTCTTAGAGGCCTCATTTCATGAGTTACCTTTCATAATATATGTGTTAACA